AAATGGAACCAATAAAATTTATTAATTTGATTTCTGACATTTTCTATTTAGGTTTTATTGATTAGATTTTAGGACAACACAACACAAAGATACAGAATACAGATATTATGACAAAAAATATTTTATGGAAATAAGGGTTCTAATATTTATTCAAAAATCTCATTTCCTTGTGTATAAAGTAGGTAAACACATTAACATACAGTAAGAGGTATTATGAAGTCACGTGAGAAATATTACGTATTAACGTACAATATTGATACAGTCTACACAAAGCGAAATATAAAGATAGTTAAGGACATCCATACAATATAAAATTAAAACTGTTACGATACATCTAAATAGCTTTCAGAAACTATATCTGGAAGTTAAGAACTTTCTTCTAACTTAATAAACATATTCAGATATAAATGTTCTGTTAACCTTCTTATGAATGGGTATTAGAAAATCAAATTATAAGCGAGTGAAATCTTGAATCGTGAGTTTACCATTGTAAACTCTCGTTCCCAAAGTGAAGCGTAATTCTATATATATCTCACTTTTTCTTTTTCTCACAAAGAATGGTTAAATTGCCTTCATAAAGAAAAATCATTTGTTATTTTTGAGTTCTCTTTGATATTTCTTTAAAATTATCACCTGTAATAACGAGTTATAATGTCCTACATTTAATCGATAATAAAAATCACTAATTACTCCTTTTATATTGCAGCACCTTACAGGGTTTCTACTTTTATTACATTTATTTCTGTTTTATGGCATTAATATTATTAATAGTGCATAGAATTACATGGATATAAATAGGCTTAGTTTTAAGGCTTTGAAGGCGTACAGAATACTGGCAATAAAAACTCGTAAAAATAGTATTACAATGTTTAGCACAAAACAAATTTTTATAAATTCAGTCTTTACAGAGATTTCTTTCTTAAAATAAAAAACATAATTCTGAGCGAATATTTCATTATGTTTAGTGTTATTTTTGAAGATAAGTCCCAGGATTCTTAACTGTACCATCGTATATTTTGTTCGTCTCTGTCAGTGATCATCTTACAGTTGTGAAACTCTTCCCATAAATAGCACAGCACCAGTTTCTGAATGTCGAATGAAGAATAAAAACGGATGGTTTGCCATAAATCTTGGTACTGCACTTCGCCAGCCAGCACCGACACCACTCGCACCAGTAGCTACGGTACCTTCTTCGTCAACTTCAATAGAAGTCTTGTGGACCACAGTACTGACGTAGAGGCCAACCTGGTCAGTAATTCCATCCAGATTAGCGTTACCCCGGAAAAGACTGCTCATCCCCATGTCTTTTAGACTGTTCTTTAAGTTCTCCTCGTATTCTTCCTCAAGTTTAAACTTAGGAATGTACACTTGGATTCTTCTCTTACGAAGAGTTGAATCAATCAAATTGAGAGAAGCAGGAGACAATGCTTGTTCCAGTTCTGGTAGTCCATTTCGACTTACAGGCAACAACAATAACATATTCACTTTTCTTCCTTGGTAAGGCATTTCCAAGGCGACACAATCCAAACTCGGAATGTAGCCATAAGGAAGTCGCGATTCCATTATCATCATAACAGTGTCTTTCGGGACAGTTCCGTTGTTGTAGAATTTCATAATTCTGGATTGTTCTGGATCAAACTTAGTTTCCCAGAAACCTTTGAAGTAAACTGCATTCAGAAAGAAGAGAAGCGTGTTGGTATCAGGTGGACTTTTCAAGAGATTTTGTATATTATTTTGAGTTTTTTGAGCTACCCAGGTATTGATAGCTTGCTGGACGATGGTTCCTTGAGATTGAAAATCTACTTCTCGTATCTCTGCCTCAAAATTTCTTTCAATTTTCTGCCTAAAATCTTCAAGAACCTCAAATGAACGCTGTATCAGAAGTGCATTTGCTGTCTCGAAGGTGTAGCCAATGGCGTTGCTACTGAGAATATTTATTGTCTGTTGGAAACCATGTCGGACGTCATCGTGGTTCAATCCAAAAGCACCGTAGCCGAGAGCCGAGTGCATCTCACGTTCTGTTACTCCACGGGATCCAAGGTACACCATGGCCATGACGCAGGACATGCTGTAGGGAGAAATTAGTACATTACCACTTCCTTTAAGAATGTTGTAGAGACCAAAACCAAAATAGTTGCTAGCGTTGGCAATTCTTGTCGCTTCACTTAACTGTTGCTGGTTCTCATCTGACAAGCGAAGATATTCATCAAGTAAGGAATTACCCAGAGACACTTGCGGTAAGAAGATGAGTTGCAGTGAAGATAAGGTTAAAAATAAGCTCCTCATTTTCTTTCTGACCTGGTAACAAAACAAGACAGCAATATATTTCACAACGTTAACATCGAGACTTTATTACATTTGTAGGAAACGTAACAGAGAAACATAAGTTTAACAGAAACAACAATATATCTTATCAGAATAGAATATATTCCAATAACAAGAATGAAAGCTGCCCGTTCTCTAATTGAAGGAAATCATCGAAAAAGTTATTGGTCAAGTTAGAGTGATTAGTGGATTATGATATAGAATGAAGTGTTAAAAATATAATAAGCACAATACTAATTGCTAATAACATGTAAATTAATTATAGTACTTATTGTTTTAGTAAGTATATATGAAACCATTTTAAAGAGACAAACAGTCATCTAATAATGATAATGCTCTTAACCATAAACAAGCTAAACACCAGTACCATACCTACTGAAACCGGCCACAAACAAGCTAAATACCAGTACCATACCTACTGAAACCGGCCATAAACAAGTTAAACACAAGCACCATACCTACTGCTGAAACCGACCATAAGCAAGCTAAATACAAGTACCATACTTACTGAAACCGGCCATAAACAAGCTAAACACAAGTACCCTACCTAATGAAACCGGCCATAAATAAGCTAAACACCAGTACCATACCTACTGAAACCGGCCATAAGCAAGCTAAACACAAGCACCATACCTACTGAAACCGACCATGAAATCGACAATGAATGTCCTGAAAGCATATTCTATTCTTACCAAATGCGGCCATAAAGAAACTTACACATTAAATCTTATACGTTGTGAAGCTGTTAAAACGTCACCCGGATGTTCTTATATAAACATAACAGTTTGTAACTGTAAAGTTTCACTTGTTTAGACCACATTAGAGAAGCCATAGCAATATGTTGAAAGAGTGTTAATCTCAATTAATGTCAATGTGTTTTTCTTCTTTTTAACACGTATTTCTTCGTAAATGTTTGTTTTATCGTGTGATACATTGAAATCACATGGTTCAAAGATGGGCTCGTCAGCATCATTACCTTTAAGCTCTCCTCCAGTACTAGTCACTATTTCCAGCATCAGACATGTTTTAGAAAGCAATCTCCTGCCAATATCAAATTAAAAAATAAAAAAACTACCATGCTTGGCCATCGCAAATAACTAAATAAAATTCAGAATCAATGCATCAATTTATTGTTGTTTTATAAGTGAAGAAAAACAAAAATTCAAGTCTTCGTTTTGGCGAATCAACTTCATATTCCCGTTTTCAACCTTTATCAAATTCGTGGTATTTATACGCGACCAACCGGTTTATTTTGTGTCACTTTATACTGTGTATTCGTTAGTAGTTTGGCGATCACTCAAGGACACTCTAACCTTTATTTATCTTCTGCTGTACACGAACAAAACATCATGTAATTAAAAAAAGTGTTTAACTATCACTTCAGCATTGTAGTTGGAAAATATCGGACTTGCGTAAGACAAATACGTCATTTAAACAGTTAAATTTAATTTTATGCAATAGGTGTTTAAGTTTAATTTCTATCACCACCTATCCTCGTCGTATCTGTATACAAAGTTAA